GAACAAGGCTTTGGGACACCGGTTGTGGGCCAGACAGGGCACAGAAACCGCTTATTTTTAAGAGTGAAAAGACTCTTAGCGACGTAATGGTAATGCCCTTCGGGATTCCGAAGATGTGCAGAGGTTCAGTTGGAATCACAGAGTGTGCTGAATGAGTACACAGGCACGACTTTTGCTCATTGCTATTATCTTTCCTTTTTGTAGCTTGGTGAAGGGTTAAGGTTAGTTTCAGCAATCAGCCATTTAGCCTTGTAAACACCTATTTGTCGATGGGAAGAGATTAACCAAAGAACTTACATGCATAACCCACGGACACAGACGACCGTGTGGTGAAGGCCGGGGCGGGGTGGAGGGGTCAGTGGGGGGAAAGGGGGCATCTGTAATACTTCCAACAATAAAGATAACTTTTTAAAAAATCAGTAGATAAACAGGACTTTACTAGACCAGGTAATTTTAAGAATTAGACTCCGAGAACTAATAGGAGAAAGAAGTTTTCTCAATTTAATAAAAATTAATCTGAACGTTTACCAGTTTACCGGTCTCATCTTCCTCATTAGAACCATTCATTCTCTGCATCAGGATAGTTCAGTGTAAAAACACTTAAATCCACTAATGCAGATCAAAGGGGCTGAAGCTGGCAAGATCCTACCAATATTTATTGACAATAGGTAACTGGCATTTCAAAATAGGCATACAGATAAATATATATAAACAATAGAAAATAAGTAAATATAAAAGTAAATTGTATATATTATATAATGTTAATTATCATACAATATAATAAATACAGATAGAAATTTAAGTAAACATATGAACTGTATGTATACGTATCTTTAAGACTATACAGTGCATCAAAGTATGTCGTAAGATGATCTCACCTTTTAAAAATGTATATACTATTATTTCCTTGGTTCTTGGGTCAGCAGATGGTAGTTTTCCTATCATTTCTCTTGGACCAGAAATTGGTACTTTTAGTGCTAATTGAAGAACTTAAAAAGCTTGAAATTGTACTGTGGCGAATTAGGTGGCTATACAAGTGTAATCAGGTGGATGTGTGTGGGGGGGGACTGGGGCATGTATTGATTAACTTATATAAATGTGTTTTAGAGGCACTGGCTATTAAAACTTGAAGAGGTTTCAGAGACCATCTGGTCCAGCTGCCTCTAGTCCAGCCACCTCTGTTCCCAGAGAAAAGCAGACCCAAGGAGCAGAAGTGACTTTCTCTGGCTTAGGTGGCTTTCTGGGGCTTGTGGTGTAGAACAGACCTCCTGAACTCCAGGACCAGGCATTCTCAGTCTTTACTGCTGAGGTTTGGGGAGACTGAACCTGATTTCTGACTGGGTCCCGCATTGTTTGTGTCCCTTTTGTATGGCTCTCACCTCTGGCATTCTCTACGTGGATGAGTATGACACTGTCCCTACCTCACGGAGAGCTCAGGGTGGTTAGAAGAACGAATCAGACAATGGGAGTGAAAGCACATTCTAAGGTGCAATAGGAATGGTCGTTGCCGTTAGCTTATGTGATGCTAATGCATAAGCCGACATTGGCATTGGCATTAGCTTATGAGTCGTACAGGACATTTAATAGCATTCTCCCTCCTGCAGAAACTGAGATTAATTCTATTTGGTCCTTGAAAGCGAACTTTGTATAAGTAGAGTTATTAAAATAATGATGCCCCCATCCCAATAGGCTACTGTTTTTATTGATTCAAACATTTGTAAAGTGGTTGAATTTTTATAATTTCTTTCATTTTTGCAGAAAATCAATACTAAGTCAACTATTTCTCTTATATTTATGAGCTATTTCAGAATTATGTGAAGAGATCTTTGACTTGATCATTTCATTCACAATTTGTAAGTTCATGTGTGTATTTTTTTATCATCTTTAAGAGATGTGGAATTCTTACACATTTGTCTAATAACACCCTTTTCAAATGCCCAACCCATACCAATCATTTTCCCACCTAAGACCTTTACTTTTAGTATGATGAAAAAATGAATGGAAAAGTATGGTTAATTGCATGACCTTACTTGGAAAGAAATACGTATTTTAAATTAAATTTAAAGGCATTTTTGGTTCCCATTTGAAATTCTTTTCTTGAAATAGAATAATTCACTTATTCTGTAAATCTACATCATTTTTGTCAGGGACCAATTTGTATAATTAATAATATAAAGAGTTGTGTGTTTTTTAAATAACATATTTTTTTTAATTCTCACCCAAGGATATGCTTTCATTGCTTTTTAGAGAGGGAGGAAGTGATGGGGAGAGATAGAGATAGAGGTAGATACAGAG